CTTCCGCCTCAGCCTTCCAAGTAGCCAGAACTACAGGCATGCGCTACTACGCCTGGCTAATTTTTTGATTCATTGTAGAGACAAGGTCTCGCCAAGTTGCCCGGGCTGGACTAGGATCTGCGGACGCAGGCAATCCAGAAGAAAGATTTAAAAAAAAAAAAAAGAAAAGAAAAGAATTTGCTTCAAGTTCCACCCACTGCCTCCAAACTTCCAGTTTGGCGCTCTTCCTTCTATGTATCATTCTATCTTCAATTTATATCTGATATGAAATAATTAAGAACAGCCTTACATGCTTACCAATTAATTTAAACAGTAACGATTTACTAAAGTCTTCTGGCTTCCTCTAAGTGCATTTTAGTATTGTATTTAGACTTGAATAGTTAGATAATCCTCTTTTAAAATGGACAAAAATTCTAAAAATGCAACAAATTAAATATAATTTGTTGAATGCTGTGCTGTCTGAATTAGCTTTTTTTGAATAGTGGCTGCCAATAGAATTTTAGAACTGCTATATAATTAAGTATTTTGAAAAGATCTTCACATCATTTTCAAAGTCAGGAAATTTAACTCTGGTTCAATACTATTGTCTAATACCTAATCCATATGTAAATTTGTCCCCAAACTTTCTTTTTCAGTGATTTTTTTTCTGGTCCAGGGTCCAGTCCATGATCACACATGGCATTGATTGTTATGGCCTCTATTTTAATTTAGAACACTTAGTTCCCCAGTCTTTCTTTGTCTTTCATGACACTGATTTTTTTTTTTTTTTTTGAGTTGGAGTCTCACTCCGTCACTCAGACTGGAGTGCAGTGGCACGCTCCTGGCCACTGCAGCCTTGACCTGTTGGGCTCCGGCGACCTTCCACCTCAGCCTTCCAAGTAGCCGGAACTACAGGCATGTTCCACCACGCCCGGCTAATTTTTGGTTTATTGTAGAGATAAGGCCTCGCCAAGTTGTCCGGGTGGGTCTCGAACATGTGGGCTCAGGCAATCCACTCACCTCGGCCTCCCAAAGCACTGGGATTGGGTTGAGCCACCGAGCCCAGTCTAGAATTTTAATTTCACTTTTTTTTTTTTTTTTTTGAGTTGGAGTCTCACTCTGTCACCCAGGCTAGAGGGCAGTGACATGCTCCCAGCCAGCCACCGCAGCTTTGACCTGCTGGGCTCCAGCGATTCTTCCGCCTCAGTCTTCCTAGTAGCTGGAACTACAGGCACGCGCTACCATGCCGAGCTAATTTTTGATTTACTGTAGAGACAAGGTCTCGCCAAGTTGCCAGGGCGGGTCTCTAACCCGCGGGCTCAGGCAATTCTCTCTCATCCGCCTCCCAAAAATGCTGGGATGACAGGCTGAGCCACTGAGTTCGGCCAATATTACTTGATAATAGTTGAAAGCTATCCTTCAATTAGAAGACAAAGAATCGCCGGGCTCGGTGGCTCAGCCTGTAATCCCAGCATTTTTGGGAGGCCAAGGGGAGAGGATTGCCTGAGCCTACGGGTTTGAGACCAGCCTGGGCAACATGGTGAGACCTTGCCTCTAAAATAAATTAAAAAAAATTAGCCAAGCGTGGTGATGCATGCTTGTGGTTCCAGCTCCTTGGAAGGCTGAGGCAAAAGGATCACCGGAGCCCAGCAGGTCGAGACTGCGGTAACCATGAGCGTGCCACTGCACTCCAGCCTGGGTGACAGAGTGAGACTCCAACTCAAAAAAAAAAAAAGAAGACAAAGAATCTTTTAATACATGAAGGGAGACCCCAAAAAACTCAGAACTTATTTATAAAAAGTTGTGTATTTATTTTTCCATGTTTAAACTTCAGTCACCTTCAAAGTACTCTTCGTTTGATGCAATTCACCTATCAAGATGCTTTTTCCATTGTTTAAGACAGATTTTGAACTCATTAATTTTGATGCCTTTTAGTGCTTCTGCTGTTTTTTGTTTCACCTCTTCCACAGCAGCAAAACATTTCTCTTTGGGAACTTTTTTTTTTTGAGTAGGAGTCTCACTCTGTCATCCAGACTGGAGTGCAGTGGCCACTCCCGGCCACTGCAGCCTCGACCTGCTGAGCTCTGGCAATCCTTCTGCCTCAGCCTTCCAAGTAGCTGGAACTACAGGCGCACTACCACGCCCAGCTGATTTTTCATTTATTGTAGAGATGAGGTCTTGCCAAGTTGCCCAGGTGGGTCTCGAACCCGCGGGCTCAGGCAATCCACTCACCTCAGCCTCCCAAAGGTGCAGGATTACAGGCTGAGTCACTGAGCCAGCTTGGGGACTTTTTTTATTGAAGAAACATAGCTAGTACACTGATGCCAATGGGTTCCTAGAACACTTATCTAGAGAGGCAAGCCTGCACTACAAGGGACCTACCCTCCAAAAGATAATTTCAGTTTTTTGGATACTCCCTCACATATGATCAAGAATACTGTCTGGTTGGATACAGTGGCTCATGCCTGTAAACCCAATACTTTGGGAGGCTGAGGTAGGAGGAATTTTTGAGGCCAGGAGTTTGAGACCGACCTGCGCTACATAGCCAGACCCAGTCTCTCCAAAAATGCAAAACAACAACAACAAAAAAGAGAATAGTTTCTATTCTGTTGGAAGAATGTTGTTTTGTTTTGACTTGGAGTCTCACTCTGTCACCCAGACTGGAGTGCAGTGGCTGCTCCCGGCCACTACAGCCTCGACCTGCTAGGCTCTGGTGATCCTTCCACCTCAGCCTTCCGTAGCTGGAACTACAGGTGTGCGCTACCACGCCCAGCTGATTTTTGATTTTATTGTAGAGATGAGGTCTCACCAAGTTGCCCAGGTGGGTCTCGAACCCATGGGCTCAGGCAATCCACTCACCTCAGCCTCCCAAAGTGCTGGGATTATAGGCTGAGCCACTGAGCTCGGTTAGAATTTTTTTAAATTGCCCATTTTGCCAAAAAGATAAGTCAAATGACCAAGTTATCATACAAAAGTTTACCTGATCACCACTGGTGTTTTGAATTTCAAACTGTGTTTGAATTTGAAAGTATGAATAGGATATAATCCCAGCACTTTGGGAGACCAAGGTGAGAGGATTTGAGACCAGCCTGGGCAACTTGGTGAGACCTCGTCTCTACAATAAATAAAAAAATCAGCTCTATAATAAATAAAAAAATTAGCTGCCAGACATGGTGGCGCATGCCTGTAGTTCCAGCCACTTGGAAGGCTGAGGCGGAGGGATCCCCTGAGCCCAGCAGGTTGAGGCTGTGGTGGCCGTGAGCGTGCCACTGCACTCCAGGATGGGCGACAGAGTGAGACTCCAACTCAAAAAAAAAAAAATTAGCCAGGTATAGTAGCAACAAGTACCTGTAGTCCCAGTTACTCAGGAGGCTGAGGCAGAAGGATCACTTGAGCCCAGGAATTTGAGGCTGTGGTGAGCTGTGATTGTGCCACTGAACTCTGGCTTGGGTGACTGAGTGAGACCCTGACTCAGGGAAAAAAAGCCTTATTAGGTTGTTTGCATAAGTGTTAAATTAGGAAACCAAACAATTGTCCCAGACTAAAGGGGCCTTGGAAGACATGACAACTGAGTGCCCTATGGTACCGGGACTGAATCTTGGCACAGAAAGAGGACACTGATGGGAAACTGATGACAGCTACGTCAAATCTGGAGCCTGGTGAATATTAATGATCTTCCGTGCCAATGGAAGACGGTAACAGTGTGGGAGACTGGGCGAGGGAAACTGGGAACTCTGCACCACCTTGGCAAGCTCCCACATACCCAACAACATTATTCCGAAAGAAACAGTTCATTAAAAAAAAAAGCAGGCTGGGTGCAGTGGCTCACCCTGTAATCCCAGCACTTTGGGAGGCCAAGGCGGGAGGATTGCCTGAGCCCGGGAGTTTGAGACCCTCTAGGTAACTTGGTAAGACCTCGTCTCTACAATAAATCACAAAAACTAGCTAGGCGTGATGGTGTGCATCTGTAGTTCTGGCTACTTGCAAGACTGAGGCACAAGAATCGCCGGAGCCCAGCAGGTCAAAGCTGGGGTGGCCGTGAGTATGCCACTGCACTCCAGCCTGGGCAACAAGAGTGAGACTCAAACTCAAAAAAACAAAAAACAAAGTAAAACAAACAAAAAACGGCAGCCATGTGCTTGATCCATTTCAAAATAGCATATAGAATGTGTAATAATGAACTAAAGAATCGTACTTGGTACTTACCCTGGATGTTGCTGCCTGTTACACTTGGTGATACAAAGATAGTAACCAAGTAGCCCCAAAATCACCAGAAACACCCCGGCAGCAATCAGTCCCGTCAGAAGGCCCATAACATCGATCTTCTCTCTGTTGTCATCTTAGAAGAAATCATTAAAATAACATGACTATCATCACTGTAAAGTATCACCTATGATTTCATCAAATTGAACACTGGGTCTAAACGCACTGGGAAGCATCAAATCATTCACACCGGATTCTTTTTTTTTTTTTCTTTTTTTGAGTTGGAGTCTTACTCGGTCGCCCAGACTGGAGTGCAGTGTCCACTCCCGGCCACCCCAGCCTCAACCTGCTGGGCTCCAGCGATCCTTCCACCTCAGCCTTCCAAGTAGCCGGAATTACAGGCATGCGCTACCATGCCTGGCTGATTTTTTGATTTATTGTAGAGATGAAGTCTCGCTGCCCAGGCGGGTCTCGAACCCGCGAGCTCAGGCAATTCACTCACCTCAGCCTCCCAAAGGTACGGGATTACAGGTTGAGCCACCAAGCCCGGCTTACACCGACTTCTTTACAAAGACTTTGTGCTAGAGAATCTACCCGGAAATTTTAAGGGGCACTTCCAAAAGCCTTAGCTATAGTTATTCTTTCATTTATTTTTAAATAGGTCATGCTTAATGGATATTATTAAACACTGAGCAAGACAAACGTATTCTAGACACTAGACGCACTTTGGTATTAACCACGAGATCTATTTATTAAACAACACTGTCTGCCATGGGGGCCTCCCTAAGAGGAACGGAAGGACAGCTGGCGGAAACACAGACAGTAGAGAAGACAGAGATGCTCAGGACAGATAAGATAAAGGCTCTCGGCTGGGCGCGGTGGCTCAAGCCTGTAATCCCAGCATTTTGGGAGGCTGAGGTGAGGGAATTGCCTGAGCCCATGGGTTTGAGACCAGCCTGGGCAACTTGGCGAGACCTTGACTCTATAATACATCAAAAAATCAGCCGGGCGTGGTAGCACATGCCTGTAATTCCAGCTACTTGGAAGGCTGAGGCGGAAGGATTGCCAGAGCTCAGCAGGTCAACGCTGGGGTGGCCATGAGTGTGCCACTGCACTCTAGCCTGGGTGTCAGAGTGAGACTCCAACTTAAAAAAAGAAAAAAAGAAAAGAAATTCACGCGGGGCGCGGTGGCTCACACTTGTATTCCCAGCACTTTGGGAGGCCAAAGCAAGAGGATTGCCTGAGCCCAGGGGTTCAAGACCAGCCTGGGCAACTTGGTAAGACCTTGTCTCTACAATACAACAAAAAAATTTAGCCAGGTGTGGTAGCGCATGCCTGTAGTTCCGACTACTTGAAAGGCTGAGACAGAAGGATTGCCTGAGCCCAGCAGGTTGACACTGGAGTGCTGTGAGTGTGTCACTGAACTCCAGCCTGGGCGACAGAGTGAGATTCTGACTCAAAAAAAAAAAAAAAAAAAAGAAAAGATAAAGGTGCTCCTCTTTAGAAGCTACCGAGTTCCATCCAGCAATCTTAGCTCATCTGGCAGAAGCATTTTATTCACTTGTAGTGGTAGAAAGGAAGAAAAAGTTAACATGGCTTACATCTTGAAAGGGAGGGGATCTTGTTTCTACTCTGTACAAGTCTTGATTTAGCTAAGCGGTTTACAGTGGCATGAAGCTTATCATCTCATTTCCCCAGTATCACGCCAGACTTGATTTTCAGTGTAAAGAGACGAACGTGGCCTTCACTGCCGCAGAGAGCCCAGCGTATAACTGAGAAATCTCCCTGGGATCTGTAAGATGCCTACGCTGAGCAACAGCCGAACCCAAGCAAATGAAACTCAAAAGTATTCACGACAGTAGAGAGAGGGAGGGAGAGAAATGGGGTCAGATCGATTCCTGCCTTACCTGATTTTGTGGCTGGTCCTTTAATGGAATATTCCTGCCAAAACGCGGTCTAAGAAAGAGGCAGAGTTTCCAAGTTTATTCGATTTCTTTCTTATCATTTCATCAGGTCCCGTGACCTAGATTAGGGCTGGCAAACTCTTGGCATGTGCCACCAGTGGCAGTCTGGCTCCCTCCAGCAGGGGCTGTGGCTTGCTCTGAGGACAGTGCAACCTCCCACCTCTGCCTCCCTGGCTCCCACCCACCTTCCTCCCTTCACTGACCAGAGACCCCCCTCGGGCGTCGGGGGAAAACATTGCATTAGTGAGCAGTGAAAGTCAAGTGGAGGCAGTGGGCCCCAGACATGCTTGCAAAGAAGCCTGAACTTCCTTTGCTTTGCTTTTGTTTTGAGTCAGGGTCTTATTCTGTTGTTCAGGCTGGAGTGTTGTGAAACCATCATGGCTCACCGCAGCCTTGGCCCTCTGGGCTCAGGTGATCGATCCTCCCATCTCAGCCTCCCGAGTGGGGGGACTACAGGCATATGCCACCATGCCTGGCTACTTTTGTTTTTTTGTAAAAACGAGGTTTCGTTATGTTGCTCAGGCTGGTCTCAAACTTCTGGACTCAAGCAATCCTCTCACCTAGGCCTCCCAAAGGGCTGGGATTACAGGCATAAGCCACCATGCCCAGTGGAGCCTGAATTTTCTATGCTAGGCAGGCCCTCAGTTTGCCCCAGATTTTTTCTTTTCTTTTCTTTTCTTTTTGAGTCTGAGTCTCACTCTGTCACCGAGGCTGGAGTGTAGCAGCACACTCACAGTCACCACAGCCTTGAACTGGCTGGGCTCAGGCGATCCTTCTGCCTCAGCCTTCCAGGTAGTTGGAACCATAGGTGTGAGCCCCCATGCCAGGCTACCTCAGGATATTTTGGAAAGACATTCTGGAGACACTTCAAGTTCAGGTTACTTGCGGGAATAGAAGTGGATTTCAGGGAACTGTGATAACATTAGAAAACATGTTTGTGGCTGGGCGCGGAGACTCAAGCCTGTCATCCCAGCACTTTGGGAGGCTGAGGTGAGCAGATTGCCTGAGCCCACGGGTTTAAGACCCCCTCGGGCAACTTGGCGAGACCTTGTCTCTACAATAAATCAAAAATTAGCCGGGCGTGGTAGCAGCACCTGTAGTTCTGGCTACTGGGAAGGCTAAAGTGGAAGGATTGCCTGCCCGAGCCTAGCAAGTTGAAGCTGCAGTGGCCATGAGGGTGTCACTGCACTCCAGTCTGGGTGACAGAGTGAGACTCCGACTCAAAAAAAAAAAAAAGAAAAGAATTCAGCAGGCCTGTTGGCAAATTGCATGTGGTGGGCAAGGGTGTGCCCAGGGGAACATGTGAGCAGCCCTCCAGTGACACTTTATAACACATGTCAACACAACATGAAGGAAGACCCGTCTGACTCCCTGGCTTTCCTCCCTCCTCCCACCGCCCTTTCCTACTGTGATCCTTTATTCTTGCTTTCCAGAATAAAGTAACATCAGAAAAATAAAAACCTGGACACCAAGGAGGTCCCAGGTATAGGAGCACGAAACAGCTGGCAACATGTAGCAGCAACGGGGGTCTCTGCTTCTGCCTGAGTGTCAGCCTCATGGTGCCAGCATGTGAAGAAGTCCTGCAGTTGCACAGAACGAGGGGGTGAAAGACAAGAGAGGAAGAAAAAGAAACCTCCAGAGTCAAAACAGCTGAATTGACTTCTTAAAAAATATCCAGGTATGGTGGCTCATGCCTGTCATCTCAGCACTTTGGGAGGCCGAGGAGAGAGCATTGCCTGAGTCCAGGGGTTCGAGACCAGTGTGGGCAACTTGATGAGACCTTGTCTCACAATAAATTTTTTAAAAAGCCGGTTGTGGTAGCGCACACCTGTAGTTCCGGCTACTTGGATGGCTGAGGCATAAGGATTGCCTGAGCCCAGCAGGTCGAGGCGGTGGTGGCCGGGAGCATGCCTCTGCCCTCTAGTCTGGGCGACAGCGTGAGACTCTGACTCCAAAAAAAAAAGAAAAAGAAAAGAAATACAAATACGGGTAATCAGAAAAGGCAAAGTCACTGACAGGAGAAATTGCTCAGAATCACAATGATTAAAGCCTGAGTTAGAGCACCAACTCAAAGAAGTCTTGGAGTCAAATTCACTCTGCCCCTGGTTATTTTAAAATATAATAAACAGTAAATACACAAAATCACAACACAGCCAATAACTTGCTAATTACTACAAACACAGTTAAGTGAGTGAGAAGGCAGGTCAAAATAGGCTAATTGGCATTTTAAGGAAGTAGATAGAGATCACAGATACACAACCCTGATTTTGTTCAAAGCATAACATCTCTAATAACTGAAAGTGCTACTTTCCTGTGTGCAATTTAGTAAGTTTCCAGCCAATTAACATAATCAACCAAATTACCGTTTTATCTTCATCCACAAAAATCTCTCTGGCTTCCTCATAATTACAGATTTCTTCGTTGCACTCTCTCTCCAGGTCACCGGGGGTGAAGAGCTCGAGATCAAATCTGTTATACAGCAGGTGTCTGCGCATGAAAACGCTGGCTTTTTCTTTCGATGTAAAGACTAATAAAGAAATTTAAAAAAGATTTAAACACTGATAAGACTAAAGCCAAAAATCTCTGGTTTTTGTGTGTGTATTTGTTTGATTTGAGTTGGAGTCTCACTCTGTTGCCCAGGCTAGAGTACAGTGGCACACTCACTGCCACCCCAGCATTGACCTGCTGGACTCTGGTGATCCTTCCACCTCAGTCTTCCAAGTAGCTGGAACCACAGGCACGTGCTACCACGTCTGGCTGATTTTTTATTTTTTATTGTAGAGGCAAGGTCTCACCAAGTTGTCCAGGCTGATCTCGAACCCAGGGGCTCAGGCAATCCACTCCCCTCAGCCTCCCAAAGAGCTGGGATTACAGACTGAGCTACAGAGCCCGGCCCAGATCCCTGTTTTAAATGTGGAAAAAATGAATAGCCCTCTTTTTTTTTTTTGAGTTGGAGTCTCACTCGGTCACCCAGACTGGAGTGAGTGGCACACTCACAGCCACTGTGGCCTCGACCTGCTGAGCTCAGGTGATCCTTCTGCCTGCCTTCCACCTCAGTCTTCCAAGTAGCTGGAACCACAGGTGCGTGCTACCACGCCCAGCTGATTTTTTTATTTTATTGTAGAGATGAGGTCTCGCCTGCCCAGGCGGGTCTTGAACCCGCAGGCTCAGGCAATCCACTCACTTCAGCTTTCCAAAGGCGCGGGATTACAGGCTGAGCCACCAAGCCCGGCTGAATAGCCCTCTTAAAGAGGTTAAATTATACCAATCTATCTTGTACGGTTTTAAAACTGATTTTTTTTTAAAAAACAGCATCAGTAAAGATAATTCCTGATAAATATGAAATACAAATATTAGCATAATTCCACAAAATATTTGAGTCGATTATGTCCAAAATCATTAGCATAAAATGAGATTTAAGTGTCACTTTCTCCGCCAGATCATTCTTCTCCCAATAACCACAAATCAGACTATATTCGCTTTCTAAAGGATGGGTTCCCTGGAATCTTGAGTAAGATCAGTGAGACAGCTCTGGTGTCTGATTTGGCTCCAGCACCAGCTGTGCATTCTGGGAATGCCACCTGTACTCTCTGGGCTGCTGTTTCCCCTTTTGTGAAATTGGAAGTTAAACTATACAGTCACTAAGATCGCCTGAAGTTTTGGGTTTTTTTTTTTTTGGTTTTTTTTTGAGTCAGAGTCTCACAGTTGCCCAGGTTGGAGTGAGTGGCACACTCACAGCCACTGTGGCCTCGACCTGCTGAGCTCAGGTGATCCTTCTGCCTGCCTTCCAAGTAGCTGGAACTACAGGTGCGTACCACCACACCTGGCTAATTTTTTGATTTATTGTAGAGATGAGGTCTCGCCAAGTTGCCCGGGCTGGTCTCAAATCCCTGGGCTCAGGCAATCCTCTTGCCTCGGCCTCCCAAAGTACTGAGATTGCAGGTGTGAGCCACTGCTCCTGGCCCTGTCCAAAGGTACTTTTTTCTACAAATTAATTATCTTTTCAAACAGGCCTGAATATTCTAGAGCTGTTGTGTCTAATACAGCAGCCACACAAGGCTCTGAGTGCTGGAAATGTAGCTTGTCTGAATTGAGATGTTCTGCAAGTATAAGATATACACAGAGATTTCAGACTTAGTATGGAAAAATAAAGATGCTGAAATGTTTCAATGTTTTATAGCGCTTACTATTTATTTATTTAGAGTTGGAGTCTCACTCTTTGTCACCCAGGCTGAAGTGCAGTGGCACGCTCACGGCCACCCCAGCATCGACCCACTAGGCTCCGGTGATCCTCCCGCCTCAGCTTTCCAGTAAGTGGAACTACAGGTGTGTACTACCATGCCTGGCTAATTTCTTTTTTCATTGTAGGGACAAGATATCTCCAAGTTGCCTGAGCTGCTCTTGAACCCGTGGGCTCAGGCAATCTACTTGCTTCGGTCTCCCAAAGTGCTGGGACTACAGGTGTGAGCCCCTGTAGAGTGTTCATTTCTATATTATAAATAAGATAAGGGCTATTCGAACCAACGGGGAAGCTACAATGGGAGAAACAGTGATCGTTTTTTAGTCTTCTAGAAGGCAGAGAGAAGGACCAGTGTGATATAACACTGCAATTATTTTTCTTCCTTTGTCTTTTCATGGGTTTTACACCACCCCCAAACGGAGGCAGAATAAAACACTGTCCAAATCCCATCGCCCTTGCTGGGATTCCTGCAAAGACCTTCCAAGTGGTCTCCTCCCTCCTCTGTTTTTAACACTAGGCCAAAATCCCTTTAAAGGGCTCAGCCTGTAATCCCGCACCTTTGGGAGGCTGAGGTACGTGGATTGCCTGAGTCCGCGGGTTCGAGATCCGCCTGGGC